CCATCAGGGATGACAGCTTAGCCGCCGTTCTCCTGTCACTCACCATATAAAACAGGTCCGCGGCTCCGAACCGTAGTAAAGGGACCTCTGGCTAATACGTCGGGTTCGTGTCGGGCTCGTAGCTGAAAACTAGCTTTACTTTGTTGTCTGGGTCAACTTTGCTAGCGAGAGACAGAGAGAGGCGTTGAAAGACTCCAACGGAGCTTATTGTTTCAAAGGAAACACGAACACAGCGTACAGTCGAGTCTTAATAGCTTACTTACAGCTGGACTACACTGCCCACGAGGCTACATGCTTCAGGGCGATGCCTGTAACACTCTGCCTGTTGCCTTCTTATTAAGTCATTTTTTGAACAGTAATTTTTAAAAATATTTCTTCATGTCAGTATGCGGCCACATGTAGAGGTGACGTGGGCCGTGAGATTGAGACACAGACATTGGAGCCTCTTAATGCGTGTTTTGTTTGGGTTTCCACCGGCATGGAAACCAAAAACAGAGAGGGCATAGCCGAACATATGAAACGGGAAAAGACCGCCGTGTAATCCTTTATTTCAACAAAGTAACTGTATTCTGAATACCACCTTTTTAAACGGTAACAGAATACAGTTACTCATATTTTGTATTTTAAATAGGTAACGGTGGTTCATGTACTCTGTTACTTTCCAACACTGACTGTGGGACGCAATGAAATTAAAATTGAGGGTGTGTCAACAAAAAGGTGTGTAATAAATAATATTTAATTTGCATTTGATTTATGTTTAAAGAATGGCAAACAATCACATAATTTAGGACTTTGTTGTACATATTTGGCACAAAAATCACTGAAAGTGAAATATGTGGACACGAAATGTTGCTGCACACACACAGACAGGTAGACGCTTATTAAATACATTCCTGTGACGTCATCACAGCGCGTCACCAGCAGCTGACCCGGCAGCATGTGGCGGACCGGGGCGACCTTGGTGTTCGGAGCGGGACTCGGAGCGGCGGCGAGCCGTCTGTTGAGCGCCGGAGGCTGGCGTGAGGAGGGGGGAGCCGGCCTGATGAGCCGGGTTCCGGTCATCCCGGTACCGGGAGTCCCGACGGTGCAGGCATCAGAGCTGCAGGTGAGTGTGCGTGAGGTCATAGACTTCCGGCATTTGCTTGTGTGTGCTCCAAAAGTGTCTTCTATCTAGTTTTCCTAACATTGTTTCCTTGACCCGATGAGGAAAACAAGTTAGGAGACGCTTAACGTCTCTGCTTAACGACGTGACGCCGGATCTCCGAAGTGTTAAAAACTACAACTTGCAGGAGACTGACTACAAAGCGCGCATCTCACTTTAGCTGTTTGTGAGACCCACAGCAGACCGGCTCTCCTTCAGCCTCCTCTCATTTATCGGAGCTGCTGTTTTCACAGCGAACACTCGAGCCTGAGCTCACACTGGAGCCGCTGAGTCTCTCTGCTGGTTCTCACTGACAGACCCTGCTGCTGTATGTCGGTAACAGCCAGTGGCGGTTCTAGCCTGTATTGCGGCCTGGGCGAACACTCCCTCTGGCATCTCTGTTTTGGACAGTACTATCCTCTATGCTGTTGTTGTATACAGAGGCAGCAGGTTGAGTGAACCACTGAACCACAAGCCCAGTAATGTTGTGAGGAGGATGGAGCTGAACTCCGTTAGGGTGGTGTCTGAGAGGCAGATGTTGTCCAAGATAAGGACAATCATGGATAATACCTCCCACCTACTCCATGACATGCTGGCTAGTGACAGGAGCACACTCAGAGACTGAGATTACCCACAATGCACCACTGAACGACACAGGAATCATTCCTGCCTGTGGCCATCTCCCTGTACAACTCCTCCACCTAACACACTGTGAACACTGCAACAGCTACAGCCTTTTTACACACGCTCTTTTCTACTCTGGAATATTCTTGTCAATTTTCTTGATATTTATTTATCATCACCTCTGTTAATCCTTGATATTTAGAATTGAGTGATCTGTATATATTAGTGCTGTTTCTTAAACGTGTAAAATCTGTAACATAATGTATTGTTTGGAGTTTAGTCTGTTACTGTTAATATTTTTACCATTTCTTCTTGGAGCAACTGTAATCCACATAATTTCCTTAGGGATTAATAAAGTATTCTGATTCTGATTGTTTCAGGATGACCTGCCATTATCCAATCACACATCTGCTTACCTGGATCTGTTGCTTGTTTCTCTTCTTTTCTCTATTTTCTAAACTGAGCACCCGATGGCTTTGAACTTTTCTTGTCCATCTTACATTGGTTTTAATTTTGCTCTTCAGTATGAACACAAATCCCCCAACTCAAGGGTCACCACAACATAACCTAGACCTACACCTTAGTTCACAGATTTACTTTGTCGAGGGTTTATTTCTGGGATTTCACACAACCCAGGATTCAAATCATGAATACATGATGGGCTTGGATTTACAACATGCTGAATGAAATGTGCTCTATTTGGAAGCAGCCGGCCCCTCCCCTTTCAAAGGGTCGTGTGTGACACTTTAAATCGTCAAGCTTAATTATAAATTTGTTATTGATCCTTTACCCCGAGTCCTAAAGTGTAAATTTATTTTCTAACTCTTCTTATATTTATTGTTTGTTTACTGGCACTGCTGTAACTGCAGCCTCGTCGTCTCGTCTCTATATGCTGGACTGTCTGTAGCGGAGATGACAAAGTTTACTTTGACTTCAGCACCGCGCAGGCGCACCGAGGGCTCTCGCGCTCACTTTTCGTGTATAGAATTATGAAGAAACATCGGTGCAAATTATAAGTTTGTATCATGATGTCTGGTGTTTTTGTGTTTGTTGCTTTGTTTTATTTTGCGAGTTGGTTATTAGACGCTGCTCCAGCCAGCCAGAGACTCCGCCGCAAGCAGCAGGCGCACCTCGCAAACGGAGGGCGCTCTTACTCCCAGCAAATAGGTGATAGAAAACCGATCGGTGCCTCTGCCATTCCCAATATGCACTGGCTGATGTCGGGGCAGCATGAGTACGAGCAACTTTATTTTTTCTTTTTTGCCGATGCCCGTGATGCCGCCGCGGGCAACCGCCCATATCAAAAACCGCTACTGCTGACAGCACATCCTCCTGTGACTGTCACGTCACAATCATTTGGCTCACTGGGTAAAAAAAATGAAATCCATGGTATGTTCTTCTATCTGGCTGCTGTGGAACTCGTTTCCTCCGCCCTGCGACTGCATTTCCTCCATCATCACTGATCCTAGCTGACCTGAAGCAAACATGAAGCTGTAACATAACAAAGGACATCAATGATCACTGGGCTCATACGGCATGCTTCATGCAGCAACTCAACAGGAAGTAGTTTTTATTCACTCAGGCTCCAGCTGTGACTTTAACAGCTGCTCATAAAACTAGGAATGTATCAAAATGCAGTTAGAAGGAACACTTACACCATCTGCTGCACGCTGTTCATGTCGATGCTGCAGCAGCTCCTTCAGGTGTGTGAGTCCATAAAAACACTGAGGAAGAAGACTTCCATATACTCTGGATTATTGATCAATTAGTGGGAGGAGTCTCTGTGTTCCCGATTGGCTGATTGAGTGTGTCTCTGTGTCTAGGTGAGTCCAGGTAGCTCAGGAGCTGTGATGAAGTATGGCTTCCCCTCACTGGGCAACATCAAGACCAGAGAATCCTACGTCACCTCCTACGACCCCCGCACGCGTACTGCATCCTGGGTAATAGAGCGGCTAAACCCCGCCTCCCTGAGCGGACTGTCAGACAGGAAGTACTGCGAGTTCAAAGAGGATGACAGGTGCGACAGGAACAGGGCAGGTAAAGTTCATGTTCACATCAGTGTTCTCCCACCGGGCTGTCAAACACAGGGCACGTGGGCCAGAACCGGCCCTCATGAGGTGCGAGCTGGACTCGCCTTTCTGCAGCTCTTATTGAGATGCTGTAAAAATCCAACTGTGCGAGCAGAGCTGCAGATAAACACCGTGACCCCAACTTTCCTTGCTTGAAAATTGTGGTCCGTGCAGGTTAACGAGGCGACAGGTGAAGGACGTTCTTCTCTACCTGTGAAGTTGTTTGAATTCTTAACGTGTAACATCTGTTTTCATTCATTGGCAGCGTTCATGTTTTCCACCGAGCGACCAATGCCGACTACAAGGGGAGCGGGTTCGACAGGGGCCACCTGGCCGCAGCAGCCAACCACAAGTGGAGCCAGAAAGCCATGGACGACACGTTCTACCTGAGCAACGTGGCTCCACAGGTGAGACTTTTTACCTGGACAGGCTCATCCAGAGTATTGATTACCTGATTGATTCTATGGATCTCTGGTGTTTGTGAGCAGAACCCTCACCTGAACCAGAACACCTGGAACAACCTGGAGAAACTCTGCCGCTCCCTCACCAAACGCTACCTCAACGTCTACGTCTGCACTGGCCCGCTCTACCTGCCCAGGTAACCTGCTGCCCATCCTTCTGTGATGACTGAGGGGAGGGGCTTGGGAATGACATTGTCAGGTGCGTGTTTCAGGCAAGAGGCTGACGGGAAACTCTACGTTCGATATCAAGTGATAGGACGAAACCACGTCGCCGTGCCGACACACTTCTTTAAGGTGAGGGCCACCCGCCGGATGGTGTCAGCACTCCTGCCCGTCAGCTGGCGATAAGTTCTCCTGTCCCATGTGCCCTCAGGTGCTGATCCTGGAGCAAGCGGACGGCAAGGGGGTGGAGCTCCGTTCGTACGTGTTACCAAACGAACCTATCAGCGAGCAGGTTCCTCTGGAGCGTTTCCTGGTTCCCATAGAAACCATCGAGCGCATGTCAGGACTCCTGTTTGTGCCAAACATCATGAAGAGGACCGCCGGCGGCGTACGGGCCATCGCTGACAGATGAGCTGCATTACCCACAATCCTCTGCTTCAGACTTCCTTTAATCACAGATCAATAGCGTTCGAATGTTTATGAACTTAATTATTTGTGAACTATCAGTGTGAGCATTGCTTCTGATCGAACAAACACACAACATACCAAAACAATTTTATTTAATGTTACAAAGCATCTGCACCTTCAAAATAAAAGTCTTTTTTTAACCCACTCCCTGTCCCGATTTCAAAGTGTTTTTATAAAGTCTGTCCACGGGGACACCACATGTTGATTGGCTGCAGGTCAGCTGTTGTCCAGCTCCACGTCGTCACTGAGCTCTGAGAAGATGTCAGAGAGCTGATAAAGTCTCTCCTTCTCCTCCTCTTCCTGCGCCTCCTGGGGCTCACACTTCTTCAGTCTCTCCTCCAGGACAGGGACGGCTCTGCTCTGTAGGAAGTCGATGATCTCTGAGAGACAGGCGATTACAGATTACTGCAGGCTCACCTGAACACGACACTTAAACCTGAATTACTCTGAACAACTGAACCTGAGAGCTTGCATGCTGCATCCAGGTGCTCAATGAAAACTGGGAAATCTGAGGGGTGTACTAAATGCAAGGACCACACATCCAGGCTTTGTTTGAGCCCCAGTCTGAGTAACGCCCGGGGTGCTCATCGCCTGTCTGTCCGCTCAGTTTGAGCTGCACTACAGCGCAGCTGCTCCTGACCAGGTGAGCAGTTTAGTTACCATTGTGATCGAACAGGTAAGAAGACTTCAGAGGGGTCGGGCTGTCTCAGGTGTGCTCCGGTTGGAGGTTTCTTCGATGCTCGACATGACACGACTTGTTTGTGTGGTTTGGTTTTGGAGAACAGATTCGGCGTGTCCTCGTGTTTGTGTGGTCGGAAACACACTGCACACAAACAGCTGAGGTCACGTGACCCGACACTCGGGTCACATGATCAAAGCTACACTCTGGTTTAATCTGACAGTGCGACACAAACAGGAAGTGGAACACACACCAAGCTCGAGCTGCTCACCTGCGTACGACAAACTCGTCCAGTTTGGAACTCTGGAAACCTTCAACCTGTAAAACATCTTCTGCACACACATCGGCGTCACAGTCCTGAAACACACACACAGGTGTGACACCACAATACTGCCTGTAGTACAGTCTATTGTGTACTTAATACTAGTTTGACCTCACCCGATGAGTCCAGCCACCTCGTCCCAGTCGATGTCCGCTGCGTCGTCCACATGCATGTTATAGAGCCTGAACACACACACACACACACACACACACACACACACAGTGATGTCCATCATGACCGGAGGTTTGTCCTGCATTCTCATTGGCTGCTCAGCGAATGCTCTGATGGGTTCGCGTCACTCACGTGTTGATGAGGTGGATTTTTGCGGCGTACCCCTCGGCACCTCGGTTGAACACTCCCTTTGAGGACAGCTTAGACTTCAGCAGGTAGAACCTGGAAAACACCAACACCTGAGTTATACCCGAGGATCCGCTGCTGGCGTGGAATGTACCGGTCTGGTTCACGTGAGCAGAGGAGCACCGACCACTTGAGACGACACTGGATCCAGGACCGGGTCTCCACCTGCTCGCTGATCCTCTTCCAGGGCAGGTTGTTGCACAGCTGGTTTCGGCTCAGACCTGCAGGGCTCTGCTGGACCAGCATCTCCAGGTGAGCCCTGACAGCCTGCCAAAGGCGCAACTCTTCCTCTGCAGTCCAGGTACCGCGACCCTGAGCTGGGTGTGAGCGCACAGACAGGAGAGCATTTTCACGGCTGAGCAGAGAAATCTGTTCTACAGATCAATAACCTGCTCCGTCTCAGGTCACAATGAGCAGCTGGAACAAATCTGCAGAATTCTGACTCGGCGCCACGACAGCAACCAGATCAGCCCAACAAATGAACTTTCAAAATAAGCATGGGGGTCGTTTACTTTAAAAAATTAAAACAAGTCACTAAAGATATCTGACCAAGTCGTCTAAGTACAGTCTGTGATTGACCACAGTGGAGTTCAGAGGTTAGGGGTCACAGGGAAGCTCACCGATGGTGTTGAAGCGTTTCTCCAGCGAGTAGATGCTGCGGTCCATCTTCTCTGAGATTCTCTTCCAGTCGTTGCCGTGGAGCTTCTGCAACTTTGTGAGAGAGCATAGCTCATCCTCAGAAAACCTGAATGAACACACCCAAATTGTGTCAGGTGACCGTCAGGTTAACGAGTCAAACATAAACCCATGAACATGCAACGTGACCTCTGACCTTCCCATGTTATTCCTCTCATCAAAAATCTTCTTGGCTCTGACGTAAACCTGATCACATGTCCGAGGAATCCCCTCAGCTGCAGACAGACAAGAAGATCAAAGGTCATACTGGGATCACTGATTTTAAAATCACAGCAAGACTTAATTATGGAGTTCCACAGGGTTCAGTGCTAGGACCAATTCTGTTTACATTATACATGCTTCCCTTAGGCAGCATCATTAGAAGACATAGCATACATTTACACTGCTATGCAGATGACACCCAGCTCTATCTGTCCATGAAGCCAGATAACACACACCAATGAGTTAAACTGCAGGAATGTCTTAAAGACATAAAGACCTGGATGGCCGCTAACTTTCTGCTTCTTAATTCAGATCAAACTGAGGTTATTGTACTCGGCCCTGAAAAGCTTAGAAATATGGTATCTAAGCAGATTCTTACTCTGGATGGCATTACCTTGGCCTCCAGTAACACTGTGAGGAACCTTGGAGTCATTTTTGACCAGGACATGTCCTTCAACGCACATATTAAACAAATATGTAAGACTGCTTTCTTCCATTTGAGCAACATCACTAAAGTTAGAAATATCCTGTCTCAGAGTGAAGCTGAAAAACTAGTTCATGCATTTATTACTTCCTGGCTGGACGACTGTAATTCATTATTATCAGGAAGTCCTAAAAACTCGCTGAAAAGCCTTCAGCTAATCCAAAATGCTGCAGCAAGAGTCCTGACAGGGACTAGAAAGAGAGAGCAGATTTCTCCTGTTTTGGCTTCCTGGTAAATCCAGAATTCAAAATCCTGCTCCTCACATACAAGGTCTTAAATAATCAGGCCCCATCTTATCTTAATGACCTTGTAGTACCATATCACCCTATTAGAGCACTTCGCTCTCGCTCTGCAGGCCTACTTGTTGTTCCTAGAGTATTTAAAAGTAGAATGGGAGGCAGAGCCTTCAGTTTTCAGGCCCCTCTTCTGTGGAACCAGCTTCCAGTTTGGATTCAGGAGACAGACACTATCTCTACTTTCAAGATTAGGCTTCAAACTTTCCTTTTTGCTAAAGCATATAGTTAGGGCTGGACCAAGTGACCCTGAATCCTCCCTTAGTTATTGTTAAGAGATATATTCTAAAACACTTCTTCAGCTGAGAATCAGAGAGGAGAAACACACAGTTTTCTTGCTAGGAAGGGCAGTCACCAGAGTGCACGCACAAGAGTGAGGATCAGAGACTCGCAGCTCTGAGACTGCCCTGGTCTTTATTTATACTTTAGTGGACGTTTGTTCCTTACATTGGAATGTGGAGGTGTGTATGTATGTTTGTGTGTCAGAGTGTGACCCCACAAACGACTTCCCTTAACCTGCTGGTCTGGAAAATCTGGAAACAGTTCATCTATATGTAAAAAAGGGCACTTAGACTAAGACTGACATAGCTACGTTAATCCTACCGTAAAACAATAAGAGAAGGTACGACCTCTCCCATGCTCCCAGGATGTGGATGTGAATGCCAGAGCACTCTGGAATGCACGCAAAGCTTTTGCAGACTATTAAGGATCGCACATCCTATCACTACCATATGTAAACTTATATTATTAAAAGATTATACTGACTACTAAATACAATTTTCTATTGACAGTTATGCTGCAATAGACGTAGGCTGCTGGGGGATTCCCATGATGCACTGGGTGATTCCTTTCCAGTCACCTTTCTCACTCACTATGTGTTAATAGACCTCTCTGCATTGAATCATATCTGTTATTAACCTCTAGTTGTGTTCAAATTCATGGGCTGCATCCTCCTGAGGACCCGGCCTTCGCGGTCTACGTGGGCCGGGTCCTCAGAAGGTCGGGCAGGCTGGAAGTAAACGGCTGTGAAATGGGACGGTCCAGCCTTCAGATTAGCGTCACCGCTGTCTCGTGGAGTTTAATAAACTCGGCCGTCTGCTCCTTGCTGTCTAAAATATAACAGGACACTGGAGGAAACTCCAGTGTATTTGTGTGTGTGTGTGTGTGTGTATATATATATATAACACCCAGCACGCCCCTGCGGGCGGTTTATCCTTCAAGCTCGGGTCCTCTACCAGAGGCCTGGGAGCTTGAGGGTCCTGCGCAGTATCTTAGCTGTTCCCAGGACTGCGCTCTTCTGGACAGAGATTTCCGATGTTGTTCCCGGGATCTGCTGGAGCCACTCGCCTAGCTTGGGAGTCACCGCACCTAGTGCTCCGATTACCACGGGGACCACCGTTACCTTCACCCTCCACATCCTCTCGAGCTCTTCTCTGAGCCCTTGGTATTTCTCCAGCTTCTCGTGTTCCTTCTTCCTGATATTGCTGTCATTCGGAACCGCTACATCGATCACTACGGCCGTCTTCTTCTGTTTGTCTACCACCACTATGTCCGGTTGGTTAGCCACCACCATTTTGTCCGTCTGTATCTGGAAGTCCCACAGGATCTTAGCTCGGTCATTCTCCACCACCCTTGGGGGCATCTCCCATTTTGACCTCGGGACTTCCAGGTTATACTCGGCACAGATGTTCCTGTACACTATGCCGGCCACTTGGTTATGGCGTTCCATGTATGCCTTGCCTTCTAGCATCTTGCACCCTGCTGTTATGTGCTGGATTGTCTCTGGGGCATCTTTACACAGCCTGCACCTGGGGTCTTGCCTGGTGTGATAGACCCCAGCCTCTATGGATCTTGTACTCAGAGCTTGTTCTTGTGCTGCCATGATTAGTGCCTCTGTGCTGTCTTTCAGTCCAGCTTTGTCCAGCCACTGGTAGGATTTCTGGATATCAGCCACCTCCTCTATCTGCCGGTGGTACATACCGTGCAGGGGCCTGTCCTTCCATGATGGTTCCTCGTCTCCCTCCTCTTTCTTGGGTTTCTGCTGCCTGAGGTATTCACTGAGCACTCGGTCAGTTGGGGCAATATATATATATATATTTTAGGGGTGCAACGATATTCGTATCGATATTGAACCGTTCGATACAGTGCTTTCGGTTCGGTACGCATATGTATCGAACAATACAACATTTGTAATTTATTTTATCAACTTTCCTTCTGACGATGCTGTCTGTGTTGAGCGCTCAGTGAATCTGCGTTCGACTACTCCGCCTAGGCTGCACTGTCCAGCGCAGATCCACTGAGCACTCAACACAGACAGCATAGTCAGGAGGAAGAGCGCAGGGCAAGCTAGCGAGACAGAAGTTAAGCTCTCCTTGCAAGATGGACCTCCCCCACCCTCATTCAGATCTGGCGTTTGGAATTATTTTGGTTTTCATGTGACGTATGACCCTGAAGGTAAGCGAGTCATGAACTAAAGTAAAACAGTATGTTGGATGTGCCACGCAATGCTCAATTACATGGGTGTGAACTAGTGTGCTAGCGCAGTTAGCTCGTTAATGTGTTGGCCGTCTAGCCCCATGCACGGGGCGATCGGCGGTAGCTCGTTAACGGAGATTTGCCGTGTTGTGGTGTTAAGGTCATTTCAACGAGATTAACCTGAAAGCACTAGTGGGAACACAACGAATATGACTGCACATTTACGCAGACATCATCCTAGTGCAAAGACAAAAACAACAAGCATGCTACTAACTTTAGCCGAGTCATATAGACAGCTGTTAGCACATGATTCTCCTTATGCTGCTGAGAATATAGCCCAGAAGAAGCGGATAGTATAGCTTTTATTTTGGAAAGAGACATTTCTCTGTAATAAACTCTCTTTTCCAAAGATGAGTGATTCCTCAATCAGATACAGGGCTTGCAATATCGCTAGCCCGACGTCCCGGAGCTAGCGATTTTTCCAGTCGGGCTACCAAAATCTATCTCTGCCCTGCCCGTCGGGCTATTGTAGGAAAAATATATGTCAATGCTTTTGCATTCTTTCAGAAATGTAGCTGGGTAATTATGTCATTGGCATCGGAGAGCCACTGTCAATATGTGACATATTGAAATCGCGTTTGAATTTGCGCTTGTTTTTTGCTTTCACTTTGCAATCGCGCGAACTGTGTATAGAGAGCGACAGCACTGATCTGTGAGTGATGATAATTTGTGCACCAATTCCTCTGACATCGTCTTATTAATCGTTAGCTTACTATGCAAACATGACAAGTGAAATCTCCCGCAGCAAACTTAAACACGTGAGAGGTTGATCGCGCAGAGAATCACTGAGCTTATGTGAGTCCGTGTGTAAAAGCAGCAGGATTTATATTTGACTACGATGACCTGGATTAGAGCTGGGCGATATGAGATTTTTTCATATCACGATATGTTTTTTTCATTTCAGGCGATAACGATATCTATCACGATATCAGCCAAATAACTATATTTGTAAGATTTAAATGTGCCGTTGCTCACAAGTAAAATGTGAAATAATCAGCAGCTTGTTTTTATTTAAATATTTATTTCCCATAATAAGTTCAACAGGGTAGATGTACTTAAGGAACACGAGACTTTTTCAGATAAATAAAGGCAAATATTGCAAACTACACAAAAGGCAGCCGCTAAAGCGTTTAAGTTTCAAAATAGAACAAACAAAACAGACTAAACTGTCAATTCCACTTAGAAACAAAATATTAATTCTAAAAATAAATCTTAGTTTGTTTTACAGAAGAACAGACAAAACTGACTAACTTTTGTCAACATCAAATAAACTGAGAACTAAAAGGAAATTCTCAATCTCTCCTTGTTGTATAGCTGAGCTTTTCAAACAGTTGTAACAGTTACTTTAGTCTGACAAAAGCCGAATGACGAATTAGCGCTTCCAGTCAGAGACTGAGGCTACGTCCACACGTACACGGGTATTTTTGAAAACGGAGATTTTCTGTTTTCGTTTTAAAAAATAATCCCGTCCACACATAAAGGCAGAAATGAAGGAAAACGCTGCTATGAACATGCCAAAGCAGCAGGTGGCGCTAGATTCCTAACCGTGCAGAAATGTTGGCCAATCAGAAGTCTAGAAGCCTCGGTGGGAAAAAGTAAACAAAGCTGGGACATAGAAGCAGAACCGAGTCGTATGTGTGGAGGGACAGTAACTGTGTGTATATGTAAGCATTTAAACACTGCAGAGAGTAGAATTAACAGTATTGTAGAAATTCATTTCACCGAAACAATAACGTGGCGCACAGTGTGACGCATGCACCAGTTTATTGTATTTCCAGACTTGCTTTCGGCACATTTACAGTGCACGCTACTCTGTTTTTTGTCAGACTTGAAATAGCCGAAATACCTTCACACTACGGAGCTTCTATGGCTCTTCCGTTCGACAATCTCTCCGGCGTTGGAACCATCATCTGTTTTCTCTTCGGTCACGCTCGGTTGATTTTTCTAGTCGGCACACTCATTTCCTCCATTACCCGCTGGCTGCTTCCCAAACAAACACACGTGCGGCTTGGCACTTGTGCTGTACGTAACAAGTCACGCGACGTGACGCTGCGGCTGTGATTGGTTCGGCTCTGCGCTACTTAATTTGGATTGGCTGACTTTTTTTTTTTTTTTTTTTTTTAAGAGGACAAGAGCGGCGAAGTCTATCGCGATAGTTTAATTTCTCTATCGAGTAAAAGTTATATCGCGATACATATCGTTATCGTTCTATCGCCCAGCTCTAACCTGGATGACTGAGAACCTTCACAGACAGATATATATTTTAGTTCTGCTGAGCCAAATAAGACAGGTCAGGGTGAAGAAGTGACAGCCAAAGAAAAGCTTACCACAAAACGGAAAAGTTATGACAAATCAGACTATAAGGCAAAAAGAAAGTGCAGCTTTATGGTTTCATGGACAAAAGAGTTTCTGTGGCTGCAATATGACGAGCTAAATAACCAGGGCTGCACATAAGTGGTCCGCAGGTGCGCATTCGCTGTCAAAATAAAAAACACGCAGAAGGGTTAGGGTTAAATTTAAAAACTGTACTTTTGAGTTAAAATATATATTTATAATTTTAATAAATGACAAATTAAAAAGGCATGAACATTTTTTTTGTATCGAAAAAATATCGAACCGTGACACCAAAGTATCGAACCGAACCGTGAATTTTGTGTATCGTTGCACCCCTAATATATATATATATATGAAGTTTATATGAAACGCGCCCTGAGGTGACTGTTGTTGCAATTAGGCACTGTATAAATAAAAGTGAACCCAACGTCGTTCTGCATTGGTTACGTACCGATGTTCTCCAGGAAGTGATGCTGTGCTTTCAGCCTCCTGATCTCCAGCTCCTGCTCTTTGAACCTGTGAGGAAACAGAAGCTGCTCCGCTGAGCTGATTCCCGTCAGAGCCAAGAAGTCGGCCACGTTCTGTTCGATTTGCTGGTTCTCAAGCTGAGAGTACCGTCCCCAGCGCAGAGACACACCTGGAGGAAGACAGGCGTTCACAGGGTTAATGCGCAGTGCTCGTACCTTCCTGCTGGTGGCGTCTGCAGCAGCGTTACCTTTCTTTTTGAAGGCCTTGAAGCGTGCCAAGTCGTACCGCAGCAGCTTGTTGATCTGATCGGCAGATTTCTTCTTCACATGAGGAACAAATTCCTGAAGTTCCTCCAACAACTTATGGTCAAACCTGAAGCACATGACATCATCATCATCATCAGCTGACATCATCATAAAAGCAGAGACAACAAAGATGGACGCCGCATGAGGAGCTTTGCGTCCACGCTGCTTCCTGTCTGAGCGTGCGGAGCCGCAGGTGGTAAGGTGTCACGGCTCCCCAGCTTTGTTCAGTCTCTGATCTTTCTGTGTTGTGTTCACTGACGTCTCGTTAACATGAACTTTATGAACTCACTCTTCAGGATCAGCTGCCGCCTCCGTTCTCCTCTTCTTCTTCTCCTCCTCCCCGTGACCCCCCGCTGCACCTCTCTGCCTCTTTGCAGGATTTACATTCTTCGTTGCCTTCTCTCCATTACATGATGTCACTTCCTGCACACTTTCACTTCCCCTCTCCTCCTTCAACCTGTTCTTGACTGTTTGAACCGACACATGTGCATTTGCTGTTGCTGTGGCTACACTCGCCATGCGCGCCGCCTTCTTCTTTTGTTTAGTCTCGCTGTAAGGCTCCCTTTCCTGTGATGTCACTTCCTCTTTCTTTTTCTTCTTTCCTCCCTCGCTGCTCTTCTCCTCTTTTCTGCTCACCTGTCCATGAGGAGAACAGAACACCTCCTTCTCCTCCTTTCTCTTTTCTGGCTCTTTGTCCTCCTGTTTTTTCTTCCTTTTCTTCTCCCTGCTCACCTTTTCATCCCCAGTAGGAGGTGAGGGAGGAGCCAACAGTTCTTCCTCCTCCTCTTCTCTCCTCTTTTTTCTCTTTTTCTTCTTCTCCTTCCTGCTCAGCTGTTCACCCAGACCAGGAGACGAGGGACCCGGTTCCTCCTCTTTCTTCCTCTCTGCCTCGCTGGTTTCCTCCTGTTTGTCCCCCCTCTGCTCTTTCTCCTCCTTCTCCCCATTCACATGTGCATCTTCAGCAGAAGAAAAAGGAGAACTGAACACCTCCTCTTCCTCCGCTCTTCTCTTATTTTTCTTCTTCTTCTTCTTCTTCTTCTTCTTCCTCCCCTCGCTGGTTTCCTCCTCCTCCCCGTTCACCTGTCCATCTTCAGCAGGCGAGCTGAACACCTTCTCCTCCTCTCGTCTCTTCTTTTTCTTCTCCTTCCTGCTCACCCGTTCCTCTTCAGCGGGAGGACTGAACAGTTCCTCCTCCTCCTTCTCTCCTCTCTCAGGAGTGTCGATGTCGATGGGAGCAGGCGACTCCTCGCCCTCTGCGCGCCTCCTCTTCTTCTTCTCACAGGATGATGGAGGTGTCATGATGGGAGGAGCAACAGGAGGAGGCGATGACTCGATGCTGCAGGTCAGTTTGTGACAGAAGCTGCAGAAGAAGAAGAGGAAGGTCAGGTCAGGTGTGGCCAATCAGGACAAATAAACAGGACACAGGTGTGAGCTGACCGCCTGGCACAGGCGAGGCTTCAGTGGGGGAGGTGTACCCGGCCACTTCACTTTACGCCCGCTGCCAGGGCGCAGGAAGCCGCTGCAGGATTCTCCTGAACAACGGGTATTGCCGCTCAGACAACACATTTTGAAACGGCTCTAACATCACCTGTGTGTCTCGGAGCGCCCCAGCCAACATTCATTATCAAAGTGTCCAAGCTCACATGTGACAGCGACCAGGTGTGCTTCACCTGTGATATGATCTCCTCACCGCAGGAAGAGACGCTCGTCTGTCTGGCTTCAGATCACGTGACTTCATTAGAGAGGGTGTGCGCACGTCGTCAGGCCGTAACAGCGATCAGAAACATTATCAATCAGCAGAAAACCCGATAACGAGTCAGAGCTTCACGTATCACCACCACGGAGCCCCCAAGGACGGCCCCCACCTGTGGCTTCCACCCGGCAAGACTCAATCAGCTCCAACCGACAGTCAGGACACATCTAGACCCCCTTCAGCTGGTTTAAAGTGGCGTCAGACAGGCGGATGTTGTCCGAGCTGGCCAGTCAGAGGAACGTGCTCAGTGAGAGACGGAGACTGCCCATAATGCACCACAGAACGACACAGCGTGCACACTGCAGCAGTTACAGCCTTTGGCACGTCGTCCACACCAAAGTGCAGCTCAGTGTGAGCGGTTCAATCTGTGACGTGTGTCGTCGATTCACACCAGGATTCAGGGTGCTTTTATTCAGCTGTGACATCACGTCCTCTGAGATTAACCACACAGCTCTCTATACTCCTCACTGTACTCCTTCACCTCTGCAACTCCCTCTATTCTTCCTCTGAATGCTTTCCTATACTTCCTCATTTCTCCATCAAGCCTCCTTGTCTCCTGTTCACTGTGCAGAGGAAACAACTTCTCAGCTGGTTCCCTCAGCACCCAACCTGTAGGTAACTCCTCCCACAACCAGGAGCCCCTCAGCATTCCTCCTCTTCCTCCTCGGGCATCTTCCAAAACCATCTGCTCTCCCTAACCTCTTTTCCTCGAGCCCAGTGAGAAAAAGAGAAGAGTGGCCTTCTGTTCAAAGGAGGAGGAGCAGGTAGGGTCAGATGACGTCACAGAGCACAAACACGTGATCTGTCCTGTGCTCACAGCTGTGACACGCGTGTACATGTTTACAACAGTCACACAAACTGCTGCGCTGTGGCTGTCGTGGTTGCGTGTAATCGGCTCACGGGTCAAACTCTGTTACAGCTAAGAAGCCACGGTATCGGCCGGTAGCTAGCGTTCTTCCTAAACTCCGTGTCCGGGGTCGCTCAGGTGTGACGACCCCAGCAGCGCGTGGAACACGATCAGCTGATCAGCTGCCGTCTACCTGAGAGGAGACTACGGCAGCGGGGTCAGGGGTCAACCCGCCTCAGACAAAAGACGAGCTCGAGCTGCATCGCGAATTCGCCGCTGAAACCAACCTGGCGCTCATATGTGACGTCACTAAAGAGCTCTTACTCTGTAAAAACCGAACCGGTCACACTGAGGGTTAGGGGTCAGGGCGAGTTCAATTTAACGCTAACCTTAAAGAAAGAAAACGGAAGTGCTCCTACCTGATCTGGTGTGATCGATCTTTCTCGCGCTCTTACAGCCGTTAAACTTTGATTCTCGCCGACTCGCGCTCTTTGGCGGATGCACGCGGACGGCGGAACTCGCGCTACTTGTTTACGTCCTGTATTGCAGCCGCGCATGCGCAGTGATGGACATGCTCAGTGGAGGAAGTGAAGCGGTCCCTCTGAGTTTCCGGATTCGTTTGAGGGTTAATTTTTTCTATTGGTGCACGAAGAAGAGCTGATAGGAGCAGGCGCTCCGTAAAATACATGTGCGCTTCCATAAAAATAAAAATATATAAAAACTAAAATCAAACAAAAGCAAAGGGCACATTAGAGTTTACTAACTAAACCAGTGGTTTAGCAGTGTGGGTGTGATCAAGTTCCTTTGAATACATGTGAAACAGAGCTGGAGACTGATTTAGTCAGAGATTAAAAGTGTCAAAAGCGCCAAATGTGAATTTTTCATCTGATGAAATACATCCAGTAATATCCCCTAGGAGTAACACTGACCTCTGTCCATCCACTCCTTGTTATACTGTGATACAGCGAGTAAAATTATGATTACACAGCAGTTTCCAATGTATGAGGTAGAGATGGACCGATCCGATATTCATCCAGGCTGGAATATTGAGTTTGCAGCAGGCTGTGAGTAAGTTTATTTCAGCATGAAACACATTTGTTGTTTCAACTCTTGGAGCTGATCAAAGTCTTAAAATAAGCTGCAGAGAAAAAAACAACAACCAATGCACTTATGTTGTGATGAAGCTGTGCTGGAACAACCAGTTTATTTCAGAGTTACTAAAACAACGCATTTATCTAAACGTCTTTTAAAAAGCTCAAAGGACACAACAGTGTGTTTGTTTTAGTATTATTATTTTTATATTATTAGTCTTTGACGATAGCGTCGGCTGTCTCAGGCTGTCAGCAGCTGCGAGTTTCATGATCACGGTGTCCAGATCTACATCTTGTTAATAATTTTACCTCTTCACTACGTACGACTCTGGATACTGTAGCTCTGGTGAAAACTAAGGCCTAAATAATACTAAATAATCAGGCCCCATCTTATCTTAATGACCTTGTAGTACCATATCACCCTATTAGAGCACTTCGCTCTCGCTCTGCAGGCCTACTTGTTGTTCCTAGAGTATTTAAAAGTAGAATGGGAGGCAGAGCCTTCAGTTTTCAGGCCCCTCTTCTGTGGAACCAGCTTCCAGTTTGGATTCAGGAGACAGACACTATCTCTACTTTCAAGATCAGGCTTCAAACTTTCCTTTTTGCTAAAGCATATAGTTAGGGCTGGACCAGGTGACCCTGAATCCTCCCTTAGTTATGCTGCAATAGGTGTAGGCTGCTGGGGGATTCCCATGATGCATTGAGTTTTTCCTTTCCAGTCACCTTTCTCACTCACTATGTGTTAACAGACCTCTCTGCATTGAATCATATCTGTTATTAACCTCTGTCTCTCTTCCACAGCATGTCTTTATCCCGTCTTCCTTCTCTCACCCCAACCAATCACAGCAGATGGGCCCGCCCCTCCCTGAGCCTGGTTCTGTCGGAGGTTTCTTCCTGTTAAAAGGGAGTTTTTCCTTCCCACTGTTGCCAAAGTGCTGCTCATAGGGGGTCATATGATTGTTGGGTTTTTCTCTGTGTGTATTATTGTACGATCTACTGTGCAATATAAAGCACCTTAAGGGGATTTGGCGCTGTGTAAATACAATTGAATTGAAATCTACGTCGCTGTCACACCACTCCGAACAAATCCAATTATTCTGGATCGGGACATGTGTGGTCCTGATCAAAGGTCGCCTGCAGACAGCAACAGGAGGCGGCTTCGTTTGTCTGCAGTCAGCTGACTGAAATGTGAAATCTCTGGTCAGATTTGAACCATCGTCGCTTTTGGGACTGGGAGGGTGAGAAAGGTGTTACCAGGCAACAAGGAGGAGGACAAATAGGATCAAGCCTGATGAAACTTTATTCAAGCCTCCAACACAGGAAGTGACATTTCTCTTTACGATCAGACTTTTCCAGCTTACAGAGGTCAGAGGTCACAGAGAGGCTTCAGCTCCAGACGGACACCTGTGATTGGTAAACATGTCAGGTGGGAGAGCCTGACATCACGTCTGTGAGCTGCATGTTTGAATAAAGTTTGACAGTGAAATACAAGCTGAGATGTTTGTTAGAGAGATTATTTAAATCAGCACCACGAGGTTAAAGGTCACATTTCTGCAGTTACTACAGAATCAGGTGAGTACAGGTGAAACAGGACACAGATCAGGTCACAGGTTCACAGGTCCAGGGTGACGTTTACATGCAGAGTGTTTATCATGCGGTCAGTGAGTGCATCGTCAGTTGGTCTGCATTCAGTCACCTCGTTAGTTTGGGTTAGGGACCACAGAACAAACAGGAAGTAAACAGCTGTTTCCTGTACGGCATTGTGGTGGGAGGAGCAACAGCTGATGGATATGATGACCTCATTAAGGCTGTGTCCTTTTAAAGCTGAAAGTATGGGTTACTAAACTTCACTACATCTACCAGAATGCTTTGCATCCCCCCCCAGTCATGTGACTTAATGAGTCGTGTCCTGCGCCCCCAAGGGTTTCAGCAGTCTCTTCAACCTCGACCACTTCTCGTTAACTTGTTAACCATCACTACATTTGCCCCTCACACTGACACGCGTGCTTCACACCTCAGACCCACACCCACCCCTCAGACCAAGGACCTTACACCCACACCTACGCCTCACGCCTCACACCTCACACCTACGCCTCACGCCCTACTACACCTTCCCTACCCCAGCAGTCAAACCTCAGCTTGCCCCACCAAACATGCCTCTCTTGGCCACTAACGTGGGTTTCCTGTGGGAAAGCCCACACCGGCATCCCCACTAGCCTTGAAGGGCAAATATGCTGCGGGCGCTGTGTGAGATAAATATGGGTTTGCCCCACCCACATAGCCCCACTTACCCATCCACACAGAAGTGCTTGCAGCCCTAAGTTTGATTAAAACAAACTTCCAAACATCAAATCAAACCTCAGAGTCCATCCAAGCATTTTTTTCTTCTTCCGTACAGAAACCAACCTGTGATTCCTGATCATGTGACATGTGTTACAGGTGTGTTAGTAAAAATTAAGATTATTTCTGACAGCAGTTTGTCCTACATGCAGACGAAAACCCTCATGGCCCCAAGTCCAGGATCACTGCGGTCCTGGTTTCAGTCTGAGGAGCCAGAGCCACACTCAACAACAAATGCTACTCCTTAAAGGGAACTAGAATTCAGTCGCTCCACCCGATCAGACTTGGGGCTTCATCAGTGATGATGATGATGGAGGGAGGAGCTAGCAGATTGTGCGTCCGGGTCCTCCTCACTGTTCCTCAGCAGCAGTGAAGCTCGCTGCTCATTCATCCTCCTGGACTGGACTCTCTGGACCAAAGAGAAGAAGTTCTCCTGACCGTCAGGAACCGGAGTGAGCACGTCATCCAGGTCTGGGAGGGAACACCTCTGGTCCTCCATCCTGTCAGACTGCAGACAGAGAGACAGGTGAGGGCTGTTCTACACTATCCTGTTCCTGATGACGAGATCAGTGTTGATCCAGGACCATCCCTGAGCAGCCGCACTGTTGTGACATATTGACAGAAAGTACTTGTTTGCACCTTACAGAGAGCCATCTTGTCATGGGGTCTGGAGGTCAGTAAGTGGGAGTGGACCCAAATGCAGACACAGACAGAAGCTCACGTGGGTCATAACCCGTCTGGTAGCTAATGTAACACAACAAACATGGATAAAATCTTTTTATCCCCATAGCATCATCATCTGTTCTGATGAGCTTCTCTTTCATCCTTCAGGTAAAGTGTAGATTTGACTGAAAATGCTAAAATCAAGTCCTGCCCACGTCACCTTTACTGATTAATGTTAAAACAATGTGTACAGATAGTAAGGTACAAACGAATTTTTCTTGTTGTTCATTCGTACACATGCAGGAGCTGCACTATCATATTGCTCATAGATCAGAGTGAACTGGAGTGAAAATGGTCGGATACTTCAAACAGGGCCATTCTGACCACTGACAGGTGAAGTGAATACAGTCATACCACCTGTTAGTGGGTGGTATATATCAGGGAGCAGGTGTACATTTTGTCCTCAGACGTGATGTTAAAAGCAAGAAAAATGCACAAGAGGATTTGAATGTGTCTGACAGTTTGGGTCAGAGTGTCTCCAAAGCTGCAGCCCTTTGGTTGGTCTGCAGGGCTCAGTAACCTATCAAAGAACCAACCAGGTTCACTGACGGCTGGACCGGGTGGCCCATTCTGACAGAAAGGTGTCAGCATACACATCATGTGGATGCCCAGATGCATGTGTACTGCTTACCTGGGGAACACCTGGAAGCACAAGGCCAGATTGGAAGAAGATGAGCCGAGGAGGCGGCACGATGTTTTGGGTGATGTTCAGCTGGGAAAAGTTGTGTCCTGCATCCACGTGGATGTTACTGTGACAGGCCTACCTAAGCACTGTTACAGGCCGTGTCCACCCTTTCAGAGAAATGGTGCTCCCTGATGGTTGTGGCCCTTCAACAAGATAAGCCACGCTGCTAAACAGGTTCAGAAATGTTTTAGAGCACATGAAGTTTGAGGGCGGACTTGGCCTTCAATCAGGGATCTGTGTGATCTCCCAGACTAAGCAAATCCAGTCTAGGAGGCCTCAGCTCGCAGCTTACAGGACTCAAAGGATCTGTTGCTAACATGTTGCTGCTAACCCTAAACCAAAAGTAACCAAAGGCTTTATTATTTACCTTTTCTCTTTGCTTTAGTCAAGAACAATACTAACTTAGGGAGGTCTCTGTTTTCAAAATTAGAGGTAAGAAAGCATTTCTAATATTTCTGTCTGACATCACAAGAATCTGATTGGTCAGGAGCATTGATACTCCCGGTGT